GGGGGGGGGGGGGGGGAAGCAGATAAAGAAAAATACAATACGCTATCTAAAATGAATTGTCCCTCTTTTGAAGCGGTAAATCAAAACCAGTATCTTACTCTGAGTGAGTTTTTCTTTTTGACAAGTGCTTCCGACTTTACAAGCTATTTCTTCATATGCTGTTTCAAAATCATTCTCACTAGTCGCTAATGTGTTGAATACAAATAATCGCAGATCTACACCAAAACACAGGTCATAGAAGGAAAGATTTTACAGAAGTTCTCCCAAAGAACCAAATCTGCTCAACCCTGAGTGTATTGTTGCACTAACAATAAAAGATGGCCACAGTAAAGGCTGGAAATGCTCCTAAAGTACGCGCACATTAGACAACATAACCTTGGCTCAATTTATATCAACGGCACTAGTAAAATGACATCAAACAAGATTGCTAAAGAAAAGCAGAATAAGAAGCATTTTAAACTGCTTACATAAAATAGGTCAACCACGAATGAGCACTAAGACTTGCTCTCGTGTTTCAAACTTAAATTTTGACAAGGTCCAAGCAAAAGATATTACTAGTCTCTCTTTGGAAGATGAATAACAAATACTACGGCTATTATTTTGTGCATCCAAAACAGATTGTCACAGATGCATTTACCCCCCAAGACCACCATAATATTCATGCACTTTGTGCTGCTCCAGTAATGTGTTCAAGTACCTGGTAGAAACAAATCATGTGCTATATGTGTTAGTCAATGCAAGTGTATAACAACAACAACAACAAAAAAAAAAAAAAAAAAAAAAAAACAAGCTTAATCCCATATGTGGCGTCTGGGGAGGATAATGTGTAAGCAACCTTACCCCTATCCTATAAAGGCAGAGAGAGGCTGTTTCTGATAGACAGTCAATACAAGTGTATAGAACTACTAAAACAATTCTAATAGTGCTAGGTTTCAAAAGCAACTCATGCAATTTAGGTCCACCACCAAAAACACATGCTAATACTCTTTGACATAGAAATCTTGTTTAATGATGCACTCCACTTAGCACTCGAAGTTACAAATCGAGGTAATGGTGCATCTCTAGGTCTGCATCAGAAGTATACATCATTTTACAAAATTCCAAGTGCATCTGAGTGATTCTAGCCCTAGTACATTACACTAAACTTATATCAGGCGAATGAATAGAAGGGGAAAGCTATTTAGAGAAAAGGTGCTCATGAAAAGCTGCTTGTTTTTTTTGGAGAATGAATGAAAAGCTGCTTGTTAGTATGTCTTGTATATACTCGCTATATGTACATGCCTCCAATTCCAAGTTGACAGGTTTTAGGGACACACCTAGGATCAGTATAATTAAATTCAAGAAAAGAAATAAGATGCTGACTTATTAAATATGTCATATCTTTTGGCTGACCTTACGATCCCTCTTGAGCCCAAATAAGATAATTCCACAAGATGGAATTAGGAAACCAACAAAGCTGTAATTGGGAAGGAGACACTGTTTTCTGTCTGTTGTATATAGGTGTCTTGGTAGCAATAAGGGATCTTGAATTTCCAAATCTTACTATTTGGTGTTTCGTAGCTCATACTAGGTCTTAGTTATAGATTATTAGTAAAATACAATGGTGTTGACCATTACTTCTTTCAAACCACCACTCCCTAATGCGAACCAACTCACAACTTACCAACCCACACCGGGGTATCTCCCCCACCTAAATGTTTAGTTATATTTTTATCGACTTAACATATGGCTGACTTTACTTGCTTGTCTGTAACAAATAAATGGCTACACATTACACCAGATTCAGTCGTATCATAATCCCCTTGCGTATAGTTGCATTACAATCTTACTAATGCGACCATAGTTGATTCTTATATCTGATTGAATTCGAATCAGACGAACCCAGGTGTGGGCACTAAAAGAATTTCCCAAATATAGGAAATCTAATACGTGATAAAGATCATCTTCCAACTTGTCTAGCTACAACAGAGTTAGTCACCCACAGCGGTGACCATTGTTTTAAAAAGTGATCGCTTCATCGCTTTAAGCGAGAAGCGATGCGAAGCGACAGCCCTTCGCTTTTTTGAAGCCGAGGCGACTTGACCAGCAGAAGTGATCGCTTCAGGTGTTGAAGCGAGAAGCGCAAAAGCGATCGCTTCAGTCAACATGGGCCAATTTTTATTTTTATTTTTAAAAAATAAACCCAATCTTTTTTTTTTATACAAAACATAGACCCCAAAGTGAACTGAAAACATTTCTTATCTTCTTCCCTTCCATCGACCTCATTCTAGGGTTCCGTCTAGCAGCCTCCGGTCCAGGTAATTTTTTCTTCTTTCTTTTTATTGATGACCGAGAAATCCGTCTGGGGCCGATCTTTTAGACCAACCGCAGCCTTCGAAACTCGGTGGATAATGGGGCCGCCCCTCTACCCTTCTCCACTTAAATACCAGGCTTTGCTTTGCATAGTGTGGGGGCTTGAACCTGTGATATAAGACACAAATCCACCACCCTTTGCCACTTGAGCTAGGCCCTGGGGGCTTTTCTTCTTTCTTCTTCTTCTTCTCCTTTTTTTCACATTTCTTTCTTCTTCTTTTTCCCGTTCGTCTGCTCTGCTAGGGCAGGCTCGTTTTTTTTCTTTTTATCTTTTCCTTTTATTCTTCTTATTTAGCCTTTATTTATTAATTTTAAGTGTATTTCAGTTTATAAAGTTAATTTTATATATATATATTTATTACATTATGTTTGTAACAATTGCGCTTCACTTCAATGAAGCGTGCGCTTCGCTTTTGAAGCGAGGCGAGCCCTTGCCGCTTTTTTGCGCTTCTCGCTCTCAAAACACTGGCGGTGACTTCTTGTCCCCTCCCAACCTAGTTAAGTGCTGTTTTGAATCTTAATGCCCTTTAGATTACTTCCTTGATGCCTGCCTGATTGTTTATGCCATTTGACTACCAAAGATTTTACCAGTTCGGTTAACTGTTGATAACTCCATTATGCTATGTTACTAGTCCATGGAAAACAATTGAACTGCATTCCTCCATAGCTTATAGGTCACCTCTTGAACTACACTATACACTTCGATTGAACTGCTTATGGATTATACTCTTAATAAAAAGAAATTGTCTTGAACTATAAGGCAATTTCTGTTATCTCGATACTACAAAATGAATAGGAATATATCGGAATAACTACTTAAAAATTTACACAGATGTAGAAGTACTAGAAAAGAGCAAAAAAACAAAACTGTCTAGAACCTACTAGCTCCTTAAACATCAATGATTACATTAGGCTTAAGTTGACTAAACAGCTTTGATCATACAGATTAAATTTACAATGTAGAAGACAGGTATGATAAGGTTTAGCATAAGAAAAGACTTAACAACACAAAGAAAACTGCAAATCATACACATATGTGAATAGCTCCCATAGAGAAAGTAACACTTCATTTCATATAAGGCCACTCAAATTCTGAAGACTCTCTGTAAGATTTTCAGGGCCTGTACTTGTAAATATAAGATACCAGCCCCGTTTTTTGGGTGGTGAAGAATATAATTGTTAACTTTTTCAAAAAAAAAAAATCTGAAGACTCATCATTTCTCTGACTCAATGCAATTTTTTGCATCAACAATGCTGAATTGCTAACTTAAGATACTATTATATTACCAATCAAAAACCATAAAAAAAGAAGGTGGAATATAAGAAACCTACAATGCTGCAAAATGCCCCGTTGGAGGTTTGGAAGCGCTGCTGACATCACCCATCTTTTCCATTCCTCCCTATAAATCCCCAATTCCTTCTTATCAACCAATTATAACAAACAAAACAAATATTTAACTAGAACACCCCTCAGTTCACCAATCAAAAAGGCAAGCAACATTCTAGTTATGCACACAAACATGTGAGAGATTCTAAAACTGCTTTCCAAACATAATCATTCTATTTCTTCTATCCTAAAAAACGGAAACAAGACTCACAAAGAGTTACTACTAGCGATCCTGACAAGAACGTTGGAAGGTACCATGATACAGCTCGCAGCAAGCCCGCATGTTGACTGTCAAGTGAGATGTCAATCGAGTTCCTGCCACCAGCGGCAAAAGTGACTGTGTACACCCCAATGCTCCAAATGTCCTAATCAGATATAACAAATCAGACATAAACGACTTGTCATAAAACAATTCTCCTTTATTTTTCATTTTTTGTGATAAGGGTGATAAAACAAATATAAAATACAATATTGGAGCTACTTTAACAACAAAACAATATGAATCTTCTATATTCATTCTGCTCTATTTGGACCTGTATAATTCTAGTTTTATTTTCTCACTCAGTAACAATAATTACTATGCCTCAATCCCAAATAAACTAGTTGGCATTAATTAACTATATAAATTCCCTATAATTTGTGTCTAATTTGTTTCTCATTTGCTAATTCTCTTATTCAAGCCCAACAATTACTGTTCCTCAATCCCAAACTAGATGGGAACAGATATCTAAATTCTCTATATCTATTTATATCCATTTCGTTGCAATACTCAATAATTCCCCAAAAAACAGATGGAGGAGGACCTGGGAGCGGCGAATGAGAAGCGGCGCGTGTGGGAACGAGGGGCGGAGATCGGCGGAGTGCGGACGCGGTTAAGGGCGGGGGATGAACGGGAGGTGGAAACCCTAGCGAGTGATCTGGTAATGGAACCACGCCAAGCCATAGCTGCTCAGATTTTCTGTTTGAATCTCGAAACACAGCAAAATGCTCTTTGAGGGTTTAGATTAGGGTTTACGGTTATACTATGCTGCTGTTCATGACCAGGTAAATGGATGTGTACTTGCTGAAATTTTCATTTGCAAATAATAGCCCCAAGTAAACCGCTAGTATGATTATTGGCTAACCAGTCCCCTTGTTTTTATATTTGGTGTACATTTTGTCCCTAAAACGCGTTCTTATTGGATATTGAACATGAAATTCCATCCAAGAGTAACCATGTAATCCTTAGAATGGATATAGCTACATATATTTACGTGTACTCTTATTTGGTCCTAGTTGATGAATCCTCAATTTTAATAAAAATTTAATCACAATTTCAGTATGACCGATCATTATTTATTGATGTAAGTATGCCAAATTAAATCTTTGAACGTATGTGGTAAACAAATATCAAGTAATAAATGGTCACTAGCCTCAAACATTATTTTGCTTTTGTGTCTAGCTACTATTTCACATTTCAATTTTAACAATCACCATTTGGCGGGTTCTAGTCCTCATAAACTATTCATGGAAAAGGATAAGAGGATCAAGTGCTAAACTAACTTTAATGGAGGACGAAGAAGAAAAAGAAAAGTAGCTCTCTCCACAGAAATTCACTTGATCTTGATTATGGTCCTTTAACAATTGCAGCCAGAACTAGTCAAAGGAGTCCTCACTCATTTCAACCCTTGTTAAAGGTACGAACTATTTTAGAATTCAATATGCATAAATGACTCTGAACTACAATCCATTTGGATTGTGACGGATAACATGGGATAATACAATACCACCAGATTCAAAATTTAAATTTAATTGGTTCAACTTTTAAGCTTTTACTACCGAACTCATTACACTTACCATCGTAGAACACATTTCATCGCTAATCTGGTTCCTTTTCATTCACAAGCAGATAATACTTGATAGTAGCGGGAAGAGAAGGCAACATCACATCTAAATTAAAGGGAAATCGGTTATTAACATGGTAATTTTACCTTCCGCTAGAAAATAAAAGTGACATGTAATGAGTTCAAATTCCCATCAGGCTAGCTTGGAACCACTAGAAGAGAGCGTATGTTTTCACACAATTCAACTGCTTGTTGAACGTGTAAACCTTGCCGGTCAGTATCTTTGTTGCGATACTACGCCCTCTGTAATGCAGCCGTTTTGTAGTAGTCCGTCCATTTGACCATAGGCCGAATTCGTGGAGATCTCCTTCATTCCAGCAGATGCTGACCGTCACACCTCCACGTGCTTTCAAGCCTTTAACACAACCGTTTGGCCATTTATCTCTAGGAAGGGCTGGGAGCAAGTACAAATCTCTCATGGTGCTCTGCACAAGCATTTCTGCTACTGCTGCAGAAAAACTAACAACAAATTTGCAAATTAGCACCTTCAGCAATCCAGCATCCGTTGTGTCATTTGTCAACGTTTAAATAGGCAAATGTCATGAGTTATGTTATTTCATACAGAAATCTCGACATGTCATTAGTTTCAGTTAACAACAGTACTGTCAAAGAAATTAGATGAGCGCAAAATAGAGAGCGATGGACTTTATGGATCCATATAGACAACAGGCGTAGTTGTTGTTGTAACAACAACGTCAAAAGTGAACTTTCTAAAGACAATTACAGGGAACCTCATAATAAGGACTTACCCAAAGTTGGCATCAATCTGGAAAGGAGGGTGTGCTGTGAACAGGTTAGAGTAGAGACCTCCTTCAAAGTTGGCCTCATGATCAGGATCTACCAAATCAAACAGATGCTTGACCATGCGGTATGCATGCTCGCTGTTATGAAGACGCGCCCATAGTGCGGTTTTCCATGTTGTTGACCAACCTGGACCCTCCTCCCCTGCTCAAAAAATAAGTCTTGATTCTTCAAATAATTGTATGAGCCTAGCACCAAAGCTCAAGCACTCTAAAGTCTAAACCCCAGCAAACGAGAATAGAAGAGAATAGAATCAGGGATGTCTACAGATGGCATCTCAATGACATAATTTGAACTTACGAAGAAACGAGAGGAACAAGAAGAAAGTGACGTGAAGCAAGTCAAACGCTTTTGAAAATATGGCCTTATTTCTTGTACAAGAGGAACTCCTTTTCTCTGGTTCATACATAGTTGCAATAGTTCCGAGCATTTTTACTTTGCAATACCTCTGAGTTCCCCGTAATGCATGGTTATATTGCTATAAAAATGTTTGGAAGTTTTTTAAGGTTGGACAATAAGGAGAACACCTTTGTGGAAGTACGATTTATAGAATCACAGGCAACAAAAAAGTTAATCTAGAGCCAATTTCAGGAGTCAACTAGAAGAGTCGAAATGATCTCCAACTCATATCCCAAAACAAACCTCTTTTATATAGGGTATAATCTGCCGCTTTACAGAGGGCAGGAGTTCCCCGTACACCGATTGTGTGCCCTGGGAAGAGGCCAAAAAGGTGTGAGACATGACGATGATGAATCTCTGGATCCTCAAAATCTTGTGCCTGCCATTACACCCATAGTATGAATTACTAACGATAACGTTATCTCAAATTAAAGTTTGTTAAAACTTGTTACTCATAAGCAGCTCAATACTATGAAGACCATTCTACCACCAAGAAGTAAGGAATCTGTGCTTCATCACATACCCATTCCATGATAGAACCATCCCTTGCAATTCTGGTTGGACAAAGATGAGGTTGAGCTTTAAGAACTCTTTTAATTAGATCATCATCACTTTTTCCAAGTACCTGCTAACAAGAACTGAACTTATTATATGTTGCACAAATATTTTATTTTCATTTTTCAATAAGGTATATGTGGCATCATATTTGTAAGTATATGTGATAACATACATAATAAGGTGCCGAAAAGAGAAACAAAAAGCTAAAATGTCACTAAATCAAGAAGAAAATCGACCTCAGCAGCAGAGACAATGTCACTGAAAACTTCTTTAATGATTGACATGTCCATGGTTGATGAGTAGCTCACACTAGCAGCCTTACCATCCGGTGCAATAAAAGCATGCTCAGGAGAGGTTGATGGGTTGGTTTCCAAATAACCTCCGCGGCCTTCAATTAACCAATCCAACAGAAATGAAGTACAACCTTCCAGCAAGGGATAAGTCTTATTTGCCAAAAACGCCTATATATTTGCAGAAGATGCACACTGTCAAACAATGGTTGCAGTATAATTTTCACGTTAAGGAAATAGAGTGCTTGTCCTAAACTTATGCAAGCACGATATTCTTGTGCTTCCGATGGATCAACAAATAGTTAGAATACAAAATCCTTTTCTCATAGTTCTTCTCCTTTTAGGATCATGGTATTAGCAGTAGCATGTGAACCCTTCATAATGCTTCAATTTCTTTTATTACCATAACTAATGTGCCAGTAAGGAAACCAAAGTCAAGCAATTCTTATTCCTTGATTGACCAAGAATTTGCTTAAGTCAGGCAACTGGCCTTCTATTTCTATAGGTGGCCAAAAGTCAAAACAACGGGAAGTGTTAAAACTGCACCGCGAAGTAATTAAAAGGCCTATATCATATAAAACAATGTGTCTGCAAAAGAGATGGAAATTGCATTAAGAGACTATTACTTTATCCAATGTGTAAGTATAATGCTCCCATAAATGGGTGCAAATCCAAGCTCCACCCATTTGCCACAGAGCCCAAACAGCCTGACCTCGATCTGGGGATGTTTTTGCCCATATATCAGACACTTGATGAGCAACCCAACCTGATGCTTCGTAGTTCACCTGTAATGTACTGTAACTAAATACATGAGGGTTGCACACATAATATGACAAGAAATGTCAAGGACCTTAACCGTCACAAGATACTAGCAACAAACTCATATACTCATGATTACTGGAGGATAGTACAATATAAGGATTCCAAAATTTTCTAGCATACAGCAAATTACCAGTACTCAGAAACAAAATTTCACAGCTTATCCAAGTACACGGGTTATCATTTTGGTGGGGTGGGATAGAAGAGCAGAAGGGATAGAAAGGATTAAAATCTTCCTGCACTGCAGCTGTATGCCCTACTCATTAACAGAGGGCGTAAGCTATTCACTTGCATACATTATAAGATTCTGCTCTTAACAGGGATGCTGCTTTGTGTACATCTCCAGACATACAAAGCATGTTTTGATATGCACAGAAATGACATTTACAAAGAGTTGAGCATGCAGGATGAGAATAAAGCTCTTACTTTTGCAGTTTTGCATCCACTGAGGGACAGAGATGTTGTGTAGTCGTAAAGAGGTTCTTGACACTCCTTAAGATTGCACGAGAGTGCAGGCCAATAGTTCATTTGAAGATTGATATTCAAATGAGGGGCACAACTGAAAAGGAGAAAGTAAAATTCAAAACAATCTTGATTTTTACAACATGAAGAGAGACTGTAAAGTAAAGCTATAAAGAGAGGGTCCAGACTAAAAGAGTTATACATTCAAAAAGCTAAAGAGGAACTAAAAATATTTATGAAGGACATACTCCCATGGTGGCTCTAACATGCAGTTCCATATGCCCTGCAGGTTCGCTGGCTGGGTACCAGGACGTGAACAAGCAATAAGCAGGTATCGACCATACTGGAATAGAAGCTCAACTAGAGATGGATCTTCATCAGTTTTAAAGGATTTCACCCTATCTGCAGTCGAAACTCTACCACTTTCTTTTGCTACGCTGTCTGAGCTTTTTGACAGCTGCAGTGAAACTCGATGAAACAGCTTCTGATAGTCATCCAAGTGCCGCGCATACAATTCAGAATATGAAAACTTCTTTATTGAATTCAACATGCTTGAACACTCTGACTTGGGATCCCTTTTTGAATCCGCAGGCTTGATAAAAGGTCCATTAAATGATGAAGAGGCCACTAGAAGGATAATAGCCCAATCACAATGCTCGACACGGAACCTCCTATTGTCCAAAACTTGTAGATTATCTGAGCCTCCACTGATCTGTAAGTCAAGAATTGCTGTAAATTGAATTCCCTTGGGATTGTCATTTGCGTCCACCTTGGGGGGCTTTCTTTTGCCTGGGCAACTTCCTTCCATAATAATTTGATTATTTCCACTGACATAAGTATGATGATGCATTTTGCTATCCATAGATAGAGTAAAAGCCAAATACCCCGGCTTATTTGCGGAAACCTTTGCTGCAATCACTTGATCTGGATTTGATGCAAAATATTCCCTTGCAAATTCTACATCACCCACAGAGTAGTTTACTTTCACTGTTGCTGTGTCCAAATCCAACACTCTCTCATACTTTTCTTCTTGAAATGTCCCATGAGAATCATCAAACTCCAGCTTAATATCTCCAAGGAGCTGGTAAACCTTCACCATTGTCCATTGACATTTGCCCCAGCAAAAAAAAAAAAAAGAACGGTTATTAGGAAATCTAGTTAAAGAGTGCACTCTTCTTCACCTTGTCAAGATTTAAGAAGGAAACCTCATCTACTTCCTACAAAGTTGGTCCCTGCGTCTGTACCAGCCCCTAGGTGTCAGGAGACATGGCTTAAGCAAGCCAAGAAATAAATGGGACTTCATGTATCAGCAGAGGGTTAATCCCTGCAACGGCTAATAACCGTGTTACATTAATTCCTCAATACCTTCATAAGGCTACTAACAATAGCAAGATCAGACTGTTCCATTAATATTCTCATACTTTTTTCAAGGCATAATGTAACAGGTGTCGAATCGATATAACTTAGTAGCCTTATTAATGTCGGAATCTGTGCAAGTATTGGTACACCTTAGTGGCTTTATGAAGGTCTTCATGGTATAATGTAACACAGTTGTGGGACTTAGCCGCTTCGGGATTAACCCTCTGCAAGTGCTTGATGGGAACCACTCAAACTACTCCATACTCTTTTGTTTTTCGGAAACAAGAGCAAACTACCGTCCACACGCCATTTACTTTGTTTTAAATAATTTCATGGAGCTGGGTGGGTGGTTTCTAAGGATTTTAATATAGACTAGAACATACAGATGCAAACTTAAAATTCACATATAGAGCATAAAACTCTTAATGTGATCACAACATGCAACTTGGTAAAGTTCCCGCTCTATTCCATTATTTGTAACCTCTTTGGTAACATTGTCATTTAAGTGAAACATAGAATTAAACAAAGAGTGAGACGGAAAATCAAATTTCAACATCAATGGACTATTTATTTTCATAGTGATTATCTCTTCATTAGTTCACTTCATTTTCTCTTTGTTATATAGAGTATCTATGTGTTTAACAATGAGGCTTGGGGTTTTCTTTTAAATTATTATTTTATACCAAAGATCAAAACCAAACCATTAAAAGTTGAATGATGCAAACAAAGGACGAAGGCGTGATGGTAAATAAAAACCAAGCTAATAAAGAAGCGCACATCAGGGGAATTATCCGTCAATTGTACAGCCGCTTCAGTAGCCTCAGCATATTGGCCATTATCAACAAGTTTTCTGACCTCAGCCAATGACTTTGGAGCTTCAGGTTTAGTATAATCCCCAGGAGTTCCAGTCCAGAGTGTGTCCTCTAAACAAATCACAAAAGAAACTTCAGTTTGTAATGCTCTCTGCCTAAAACCAAAATACTCTAAGATAGCTCTTTAAATTCAAAGGTTAAACAAAACATGTTTAAACGGGTCGAAAAATATAAATCCTGAATGGTAACACAAAAGCAACTAGTGCAAGTTAATATCAGGTCTTTTCTAATAGGAATTCCTCAAAGAAATCTTTATTTCTAAAACCCCAAGTAACCATATTAACAGATGAAAGACACATGCATTACCAAGGAAACCAGCAGCTTACCATTAAGATTGAGAATTTCAGATGAAACACCACCCCAAATCATGGCACCAAGCCGGCCATTACCAATGGGAAGAGCATCAGTCCAATGCTTAGCTGCCTCATTGAACCTTATCTCCAGAGGCCTCGAAGAAGAACTTTCTTCACCATTTTTCAAACTTGGGCTCCATATATCTCTGTCTGTGGGCTCCTTTACAAGAACCCATTCACAATCTTCCATTGAAACCCCAAGAAAAGTGACTCAAAGAATGGAAGTCACTTATTAAAGTAGGGTTTTGAAACTTGAGTGCAGTGAATTCCAAGCACTTCCGATTTTAATTCAACCCGTGAATTGAGCAAACAAAGGATATATTGAAGTATGGCAAATGTGACGTAGAGAAAGAATACTGAGGGCGGTTGGGGCTGGTGTGTAACGAAGAGACGGTGACAGCAAAAGAATGTGACGCCCAGTTTTCTTCTCTTGCACTGCACATGACATGTATGTCCAAGAATTTATGGTCCCACGTTTTCATTGCTTTAATTTGCACAATAACTCCATTTGCCACATTTAGTAAAAGCTACAAAACTACTGCTACGCATGTCAGCTCCCACAGTAGTTGCCTCGCGTCTCGTCTCATAGTGCATGGGCGAATATTTTGTCTTAGATGTACGGTGTATTTTGAATCCTCTTCCCACCGCCCAAAAGCACATAGATCAATGTGATGACCTGCCATGTTATCATGTTATATAGGCGTCATTTAGCAATATTAATGCTATGTGGAAACTTACGTGGGAGCAAGGCTAGCACTTGCGAGAAGATTCTAGAAAAGTCTGGATATTTCATTAGAAAGACCCTAGATCCATATGGATTTGCTAGGAAAGTCCTTGGAATCTTCTAGGTTTGTAGAGAGTTCTAGAGAAAGCCC